TACGAAAACATTGGTGAATGCCACAAATTCTCCTAAATCACTCGTACGCACAATTTAAGAACAAATCTGTGCGTACGAACGGTTCTTGCATGAGTCCCATTAATTCTACAAGTAGACCATAGAAACCACACCTAGACCATACTACACCTGGACCACAGAAAATACACATGATGGACCATAGGAAGCACACATGGACCATTAAAACTACACATAGACCAACTCTTTTGTATCCATATTTTTTGTAGTTTGATGGCTGCACATTCTAAGGCTGGTTCTGCTGGAGGTTTCTTCCTGGTTCTTTCTTTGCACTGTTGCCTGTATACTGCTCAGGATGGGAGACTGCAACATTGTGGAGATTTGATGCAATCGGCTGGCTTCCTTCCTTAAATAAACAACTTTTACTAATGGGTATTTTATAATGTTTCTGTAGTGTCCTGAGATAATATTTGTTGTAAATTGGCGCAATATAAATAAACAGTAGAAGTAAACAAAAACACCACTCAAAAAGTCAGCAAATAATTCAACCCGAACAGTTTAGAAACATTAAACACTTTTAATTTCCCAGTTTTTGTGAAAAGTTTTATGACTATTACTTAAGTACTTTTTTATTTTTCACCAGTCATTTTCTGTTAAGTTATTTCTACTTAGTTATTGTTTTCAACTACTCTGTAGACCTCTGGTAGTAACACTGTTGTAGTGAAGAGGATCTGCAGTGGACTGACAGAGCTGCAGCGCCACCCTGTGGTCACACCTGGAACACACAGAGGAAGTGACCAGGAACGACCGCTGGGTGTCGCTGTTGCGCCGCTGACACAACAGGCAGCAGAAGTCAACCAAAAGCGAAGAATTTCTGCTCCAGCTGACTTCACGGCCGCCATCTTTGTCGGAAAACATAAACACCAGCAGCGAGCCGCGTTGGCGTCTGGGTGGACCGCCGCGGGCTTCACAGGCAGCTGTCTCCCGCCGCGGTGGTCTGAACGCAAACCGAAGATGACGGCAGGCTTCCTGGTCACCTGAGAGACCGTCCGTGTCCGCAGGTGAGACGGGCTCGCGGTTTCCAAGCCGGCTGGCGTCACGATAGGTTTTTAAATGAGGTGCGCGAGCCCGATGCTATGACAACGTTTTTTGGCTTTCCCAGGAAGCTTTACGCCATTTTTTTACGTCATTATTCGCCTTGACGCGAATAATAAACAATCAGTGGTGGTCTGGTTTTCAGCCTGCAGACCTCAGAGTGATGCAGGTGGACGCTGTCTTCGAGCTGATGCTTTGTTTTTTCGCAGAGATGGGGGTCCTGTGTGGAGTTCCTCACCGGGAGGGAGCAGAGGTGTGAAGGGGGGGCAGCAGAGGGGCCTTGCTGCCTGGTAGACCTGAGGGACATGGACCAGGACTACGAGAGACGGCTGCTGAGGCAGATCAACCACCAGAACCTGCCTGCAGAGAGCCGCCTCAGCAAGGTGAGTGACATCCTTAAAATACTTTATTATTATTATTATTATTATTATTAT